TTTTAATGTGCTGTAGGAGGGTCCATGTGGTGAGATAGTGTGCAGCAAACTCGTGTGTTGAAGATTCACACCCTCACTTGCCACACATTAACTCACCATGCAGACAAGTCCAAGGTTAGCACAACTTATACAGTCTTACCCAGGGGTAGATTCTCTTTTGTTTCACCTGGTACAGCTGCTGCTTATTGACACAAGCCTCTCCATAGCTGCACTAATGTATGGGATTCACAAATAATGTGCCCAACTACTGGGTGGGGATTCTATTAATGTGCTCTTGTATGTTCTTGCCATGATTTAGCAGACACAACAAGTGGATACTGAATACTGCTGTACAAATGTAATTTTAAAAGAATGATTTTTATTGATGTCTCAGTTGGTTCTGGAGATATAAAAGCTGAGCTAAATAAGGAAAGTTTGGGTTTGGGTTTAGAGGGAAATTTACAAATGAATTCTGTTGCCATCAAATAACTCATATTTTATTTGTATACATTTTCTGGGGTAAAAGTTGTCTCCCTTATACCTCATTGTTGCTATAACAACATGTTTTAAGTGTTGTCACCAGAGCTGGTCAAATAGTTTATAAAAATTAATGGACACTTTTGCAAACAAAAATGCCAAGTTTGGTTTGCTACGATTCGTGGAGTTGTATTATTTATTATGAATAGGTGTTCAGACAACTGCTGGGCATTTGTGAAAATATTTGTGAATCCTAAAGTTTGGCAAATTTTAGCATAAATGATTATTTGTCTGAAAATTTATACCGAAATATGTTGTTTACTATTCATTATTCATCCTTTAAAAAGTGTTTTCGTCAGCCAATCAAAGCAGAAATTATATCATGTATCTTAGCTGTTCCATCACACAATGGAAACAATGACTAGTCAAAGTGAACAGTTTGTGAACAACTCATAGTCTGAAAGTTTGGAGTGTTATAGCTGTGTTGGTCCCAGGATATTAGAGAGTGAGGTAATATCTTTTATTGGATGAAGTTCTGTTGGTGAGAGAGACAAGAGACACAGAGCTCTTCTTCAGGTCTGAAAGCTTGTCTCTTTCACCCATCTTGTCTCTCATAGTCTTAAAGTTATTAATCTAATTATTCAGCAAAAATTTACAGATGACAAATATATTTAAAGAAAATCATCACTGTATGAATATTTCAATAGGCAAATAAGTGGCTAAATTAACATTGAATCATATGCATAATGAATAGTTCAATCAGCTCTGGTTGTCATAGAGTAAACAGCTTCCCCTCCCTACATTACTATTTCCGATCAGATCCCTTAGGAAACTTCAGGCAGTCCCAGGTATGAGAGGTTCAGTTCAAGACTCCAGCCTCTAATATAATAATCAGGAGATTTTATCACAAACCTCTGACTTCTTCCACCTTGCCATTGAGTCAAAAGAACTAGACTCTGATTTCTTGCTACTATTGAACATTTGGTAGCAATTATTCCTATTAATCCATCTGTCGCTGATGGAAATTCTTTGCACCCATCTCTATGCAGTACTGAAACTCACTGATTTAGAAGCAGTGAAATCATGATAACATTTTGGATTTAAATTACTTGTTTAGAAAAGTGCTTGCTCAGCAGCAGTAATGACAGGCTAATGTGAAAAGTAAATCAGTAATAACAAAACCCACATTGCAATCCCAATATCTGCTAAAAGTTAATTGACATTTACCTCAGATAGTGGCTACAAAAAGTAAATGCACTCTCAAATGCCCAGATGCATGTTCTTGGAAAAAGAAGGATCATTATCATTTGCTTTGAAGCCCAGCAAAAACATTAATCAAATTTGTAGCTGCAGACAACCCATGATACTGTGTTCCTTTTAGGCATTCTTCTCTAGGACATCTATTCCACCACTTTGTGTGCAGAAGGCTAATACATTCTGTCAAGATGGCTGATACCAGCAATCTGAACTGAATGTTAAATGATAAAGTTAGCTTCTATTCTTTCTTAATACCATCTTTACAAGGTTTATGAATCAAAAAAATAACCTGTTTAAACAACATTTTGTGTTGACAGTCATACTTTTTTGAAGTGAGTGGAGTTATTGAGATTTACACCAGTGTAAATGAGGGCAGAATAACTCTAATAGATCAAACCAACGTGATGGAACTAAGCACTTCTAAACTTGGAGTTTCAAAATCCAAATCAAAACTTCCTTCAATTCAAATGCATTCAAATTTGGTATTTGGATTCAGGCATTATAGGTTCAAGGCAAGAGCTTGTATCCAAACCTCAGACTAGAGGTTTTAGTTTGAACCATCTCTAATACACCCAGTTGTACCATAGAAACAAATTACCTTTCTGCCACTCAAATACTCCATCAGAAGCCATGCTGTCACATCCAACATGACAATCCATGTCCTCATTCCTCAGGCTCCCTTCCACTGGTCAGTGGGGAGGACCAATGCGAGTTACTACTGACCCACTCCCGTATTAACTTGTGCCAGAATGTCCTACGGGCCTAGGAGAGTGTGTGTGTGTGTGGGGGGGGCGCCGGGGGGGGGGTGAATTATGATTTGGAGAGAAGCCATTGCCCTTCTCCAACCCCAGACTATTAAAGCAATTGAGCATTCAGAGAGGGGGTTCTGCAAGGTTAGGGGAAGGGACAAGCATTCCATGAACCCCACATTAAGCTCTGCTTCATGAACTGCTGATAAATTCCTGCTTTCCAGAGGCTGTTGACTTTTTTGTATCTGTCTTTCTTGGCTATAAGAATATAGCTGTCTTCTCCTTGCATAACTTCACAGCCATTACACTAACCAACCATACACCTCAAAAAGTGCTACCCTCAAAGTAGGCTGATCTCCAGTACTTTTTCTAATCCAAGGTCTTAACACATTTCAGCATCTACAGGCAACAAGATGCCTTCTTTACTGTCTTTGACAGCTCTATACACCATGCCAAAGATACCCAATATTTTTAGTGAATACTGTATGCTCAAATCCCCATAGCTCATTGGAAGTTGATCCAAAAGTAAATTATTTTCTGATTTTATTTTTCCTGGGAACCAATGACTATGAGTGAGTCAGGATCATTATATATGGAAATTTATAATATAGACAGATGCAATCAAGCAGCACAAAATACCACATAATGCTCTCACTAGTTCTCACAAATTATAATCTTGGCTAGGTTTGAACCTGGAAGATGGAAGAGTATTCTTGGTTTTCTGGATAGCTTTTCCTTCCACCCATGCCCAGTGTTTATTACTGTCCGTTTGCAGGGGTGATGAGATGTGGGATTCACAGGCCAAAAGCTGCATTATGCCTTAATAACAACTATTAACACAAAACCAGACAACCCTTTGCAAGCAGCAGGTGTTGCCAATCTGCTCTTTAACACACTGTAAACTCACACACATACACACAGTACAAACTTAGCCTCTTCCTAGTGTTTACTGTTATTTGTTAGTTTAGTAACAGAATTTTCTACTGAGCCTAAGCTTTCTCCTGAGCTTCGCTGCTCCTGGGTTGTTTTATTCTCTTTGGGATTCCTCTATCCCTGCCCCTAATTCCACCTGCTTCAGGGAGATGTTCAAACCTTTTATGCTCTGGGTTAGATCTCATAGGACCGACTTAGTCTGGCTCCCAGTGTGAGTCAGTGTGGGTCTTGTGGAATTTTTTAAAATGTATTATAGGAAAGATCCTTCAAGGCAAAGTGCCTGGACAAGTCAGCCTCGGAGTCTTTGGAATCTGAGAAGTTAGAGATTTCTTCCAAGTAGGGAATTTGTAGCTAGGACTCGGCAATGTTTCCCCTCTTGTCTCTTCAGGAAAAGCAACTCCCTTACACTACTATCTTCTTTCATCCTCTTTCTCTTCTACCAGACAAAGAGCTGAATTCAATTTGGCATTTGTGATGATGGAGGCTGAACAAGAGGAGTACAAAGAAAGGCCTCAGAGGAAACTGTTAATCAGAGCAGTGAGTTTGGGCAGGAAACATACTGGAACGCACATTGCTACACATTAAGATGCTTCCCTTTGATTTCAGCCTAGAAACAACATACACCTACCTCCTCTGTTAACAACAATCAGATCCTTTGGAGGAAGGGTTGAATTCTCCTTTCAGTTACTGTGATGCATCCTCATTGCAGTCACTGGGGTTGCACCCAGGTGACTGAGAACATTTAGTCTATGGGCTATCTTTAAACAAGTTTAGTTTGAGAAACACCAATAAAATCTGAGAATTTGAAGGTAAAAGTGAGAATTTTAATAAACTATTTCCCAATCTGTGTCCCTGGCATACAATGTTTAGCACTTTTATAGTGCCTTTCATCACCAAAGATCTTTACAAACATTACCTAATTAATCCTTGAAATTCCCCTGAGATGTAGGCAGAAACTATACCACGTGATTTAGCTGTCCAACCACATGAGTAACAAATAGTGATTAGTTAAAGCATTTCACAGTTGAAGACACTAAGGTTAAGTGACTTTTCCAAGGCTACAGAGGGAATCCTTGTCAGACCCTGTATTAGAATTAAGGAGTTCCTGGCTCCGAGTGTAATAACTAAAGAGGGGATTTTTAATCTCTCATCATTTATATTTAGACATTTATTAGTGAAAATCTCTTGGTCATACAATCCTGTACTTACTCAACCCAAATGCATTCAAACTATAGCAACAAGAATCATGCACATAGCTATATTCAGCTGGTTCACTGTGATTAATCACTCAGTTCCCATAAAAAGAACAAATATTTCTCAGAAAGGAGATAACACATTTTCTAATTACAGAAGTGTAGCTCTTAAAAGGTATCTCCTCTACAATTCAGAGAAAAAGCACGCCCCCTAAATGTCTTAAGTTTAAACAGCAACAACCCTCTGGATGATTTAAAGAAAGCAATTGTTTTTCCTAATTAATTTTAATAACCAAGATCAAATAATTTCTGCTACAAACTTCTAAAACGTATACATAAAACCAACTTAAAAGTGTAACGCATCCACCTGCCATTACAGAAATGCAAAATGGCAAAAGTTGAATATGTTTACCTGACTTCAGGTGCTGGAATTCCTACCACAATGCAGTCCAACTGCACTTTGGTTCCTTCAGGAACTTCTCTGCTTTTCAGTTTTTGTGTAAAGCGTGGTGGCTGTCCGATAGGCTCCTCAAAATATAAAGATGTGGGTGCTGTCTCTGTTGTTAATTCTGTACTTTCTAATTGATTTATAGCTTCCAAGTTTGCCTCCTGTAGATCATTTGTTTTTTCAAGTATATGCTCCGCTTTATTATCCAAGTCTTGAGGTACTGGAATAGAAGGTCGTTCTCTCTTTTCTGACAGCTTTGGGAAACTAGGGCTACCTTCTTGAGCAGCCTTATTTTTAGATTCAAGTTTGCTCCTGTAGTTTTTGCATGTTTTAGGTCTTATTCTTTTAGAATTATGTGCTTTGAAAAGTGAAGAAAGCTCCTCAATAAAATCTGCTGCCTTGTTTAGGAATTCCTTTTTGGATTCTGCTTCAGAACCAAACTGTTGTTTCTTTAGATCCTGAGTGCTCTCTTTGGAACCTTTTGTTTCTGTGACATGATCCAGGCAAAAGTTTGAGTGGAGACTATTGTCTGAAGTTGGCAAAACTGTGGACTGGGCCACTTGTTTGTTTGAAACTGTTTTTCCGCAGTTTTTCACTTGATCAGAGCTATAATGTACATGTGTCTGTTGCTCATCCTGTTTTTCAAGTGGATCTTGATCAATTGCTTGTCTTGCCAGATTTACACTTTCATCTAATTCTTCTTGGCTCAAAAAGGCAGAGAGATCTGGAAGGTCATCTTGGCCAGCTACTTCCTCTGAAGCCCCAGAAGTACTGCCATAATGGAAAGTATGGGGAGATGCTTCTGATCTACTTCTTTCACTGTTCCCTGGATGTCTGGTTTCAGCTAAATAACTCTCTCTCAGAAGTTGAGATATTGAAGTGGAAGATTCTAAACTGTTGTCTTGCATGCTGTCAACAAAAAGGACAAATAGGACCACACCTTATCAATAGTAAATTAGTTGCCAGCACAGAATTATAGGCGTCTGAAAAGCAGAACACAAAGTTTTTAAATTGTACTTCTGTACTAAATTTTTCTTGTAAAAATGGCCTCTTTTTATTAAATAGACCTGTTCTTGTGTATATTCAGAGTCAGATCTGCTGACTTTGTTAACTAAAATCAGTTTTTATTACTTTTGACTCCTATTAGACTTGCAGAGCTATTCTATTCCAGGTAATAAGTCAAGAGAATTGTTAACTAATTTCCAGTTGTAAAGCCTTTATGATTGACTATGTGCGAGCCAGCAAGAACCCACTTTGACTTTTAGATTTGATGCTGAATTTGTAGGACTGACAATTAGGAGAAAAACAAACAAACAAAAACAAACAAACAAACAAATAGCTTTACGGTACTTTTAAACTGAGCAAATTTGGTTTGAAATCACTGAGAGTCAATAAGTATATAACCCCACAAAGTCAATTTTTGGGGTTAAAAACACTCTAATGGCAATTTTTCATTGAAAACTCATAGAAAATAATATATTAAGTACATAAGAACAGCCACACCAGGTCAGACCAATGGTCCATCTAGCCCAGTATTCTGTCTCTAACAGTGACCAGTGCCAGATACTTCAGAGGGTATGAACAGAACAGGGTAATTTTGAGTGATCCATCCCATCATCCAGTCCCAGCTTCTGATAGTCGGAGGCTTAGGGACACCTGGAGAATAGGGTTGTGTCTCTTAACATCTTGGCTAATAGCCATTGATGGACCTGTCCTCCATGAACTTATCTAATTCTTTTTGAAACCCAGTTATACTTTAGGCCTTCACAATTTCCTATGGCAATGAGTTCCACAAGCAGACTGTGCGTAGTGTGAAGAAGTACTTCCCTTTGCTTGTTTTAAACCTGCTGCCTACTAATTTTATTGAGTGACCCCTAGTTCTTGTGTTATGTGAGGGGGTAAATAACACTTCCCTATACATTTTCTCCATACCATACATGATTTTATAGACCATTATCATATCCCCAATTACTCATCTCTTTTCTAAGATGAACAGTCCCAGTCTCTTTAATCTTTCCACATATGGAACCTATTCCATGCCCTTAATTATTTTTGTTGCTCTTCTCTGTACTTTTCCAATTCTAATATATCTTTTTTGAGATGGGCTGACCAGAACTGCACTCAGTATTCAAGGTGTCAGCATACCATGTATTTAGAAAGTGGAATTATGATATTTTCTGTTTTATTATCTATCCCTTTGCCAATGGTTCCTAACATTCTGTTAACTTTTTTGACTGTTGTTGCACATTGAGTGAATCAGGGAACTATCCACAATGCCTCCAAGATCTCTTTCTTGAGTGGTAACAACTACCGTATATACTTGTTCATAAGCCAAATTTTTTTAGTAAAAAAGGGAAGCACCAGAGAAGGGGGTCGGCTTATGAACGGGTATAGAGAGGGAAAGGTGGGACACAGCCCCGCCCCCAACAGAGGGAGCAAGGAGAGGCAGCACAGCCAGCAGAGCCAGAAGGGAAGAGGCGGGGCCAGAGTCTCTCCGCTTCTGGCCACGCTACTCTCCCCCCAGCCTCTGAAGCAGCTGCAGCTCCGGGGCTGGCAGGCTGTGGCCGCGCTGCCCAGCCTGCCGGAGCACGCTGTGGCTGCGCCGCCCAGTCTGGCCCGCCAGAGGAGGCTGCGGCTGCGCCACCCAGCCTGCCGGAGCAGCTCCAGACAGGCCAGAGACATCCTCCTCTGGCCCTCCCCAGATAAGGTGGGAAGGGATGGGATGGGGAGAGTGTGGGGGTCCCAGGCTAGGGGTGGGGTCATGTGGGGGGTGGTCACAGGGGTTACTCCCCTGACTCCCAGCTTCTCCCCCCCCCAAAATTTCCCCACCAGTTGCTGTCCCGGCCCGTCAGGGTAAGCAGCTGGCGCGCCGGGACACTTTGTTTACTTAGGTTTACCTCCGTGCCTGCGTACGCTCGAGGTAAACAAACCATCTCGGCCCACCAGCAGCTTATCCTGATGGCCCGAGAGCCAAAGTTTGCTGACCCCTGAATTATAGGGTCGTCTTATGAACGGGTTATAAAAAATTTCTATTTTTACTTATCCATCTTGCGGGGGTCGGCTTATAAACGAACTGGCTCATGATCAAGTATATACGGTAATTTATCCCCCATCATTTAGTAGGTATAGTTGGGATTATATTTTCCAATCTGCATTACTTTACACTTATCAAAACTAAATTGCATCTGCCATTTTGTTGCCCAGTTTAATGAGATTCCTTTGTAACTCTGCAGTCAGCTTTGGCATTAACTATTTTGAGTAATTTTGTATTGTCTGCAAATTTTTCCCGCTCACTGTTCATGCCCCGTTACAGATCATTTATGAATATGTTGAACAGGACAGGTCTCCATACAGACCCTTCGGGGACCTCGCTATTTAGCTCTCTATATTTATTCCTACTAGGGCTGTCTATTAATTGCAGTTAACTCACGAGATTAACTCAAAAAAAGTAATCATGATTAAAAAAATTAATCACAATTAATCACAGTTTTAATCGCACTGTTAAATAATAGAATATCAATTGAAATTTATTAAATATTTTGGATGTTTTTCTACATTTTCAAATATATTGATTTCAGTTACAATACAGAATACAAAGTGTACAATACTCACTTTATATTATTTTTGTTATAAATATTTGCACTGTAAAAATGATAAACAAAAGAAATAGTATTTTTCAATTCACCTCATATAAGTATCTAATTATCGTGAAAGCGCAACTTACAAATGTAGATTTTTTTTGTTACATAACTGCACTCAAAAACAAAACACTGTAAAACTTTAGAGCCTACAAGTCCACTCAGTCCTACTTCATGTTCAGCCAATCACTAAGAGAAACAAGTTTGTTTACATTTATGGGAGATAATGCTTCCCACTTCTTATTTACAATGTCACCTGAAAGTGAGAACAGATGTTCACATGGGACATTTGTAGCCAGTCTGGGGTTCCATCTGCCAGCTCCTGCCAGCCGGGGTCCCAGGCGCCGGCCCCGCTCAGCCCGCTGGAGTTCCGTTCACTCAGGCCGGCAGCAGGCTGAGCGGGGCCGGCAGCCGAGACTCCGGCTGGCAAGGGGCCAGCGGCCGGAACTCCAGACCGTCAGCGGGCTAAGCGGGGTCGGCGGACAGAACCCCAGACCGGCGGCGGACTGAGCGGCTGCCGGTCTGGGGCTCCATCCACCGGCTCCTGCCAGCCTGGGTGCTGGCCGCCGGCCCCGCTCAGCCTTCTGCCGGTCGGGGGTTCTGTTCACCCAGGCCGGCAGCAGGTTGAACGGGGCCGGCAGCCGGGACCCCGGCTGGCAGCAGCTTGCCAGTAAAAATAGGCTCGCGTGCTGCCTTTGGCATGCGTGCTGCAGGTTGCCGACCCCTGGCCTAGTCCCTACTCCTTACCATGGAGCTGGCTGGGCATGGGGAGGAAAGCACATTGCCTGTTTCCATTTGAGGCTGTCGGAGACAAAATCCCTTACAGAGTGTCTCTGGAGTGGGGCAGCTTCCTATCACTCCATTTAAGGCTGAGGCTAAATGTTACAATCTATCTCTTTGTGGTTTTATACATGGGAATGGTGTGATATTTTACATGAATTGTACAAGTGTAACTAACAGCAGTATTTGTCCCACTTATTTGCCTGGGCAAGTTTGTTATCCTGAAAAGTTCATTATCTTTAACCACAATGTCACTCCATTTCTATGCTCTCTGTAAACCTAATGCATTGTCCATCAAGACCTGAAGAGGAAGGATGTATTCCTGTAGAAATATGAGCACAATGGATGGTCACATGAGGAGATACAAGTTGAAAAATGACTCGATAAGGCCAAACCCTGTCATCTCCTGCAGTGAAATAAAGGTAAGTGCTTCATAAATTGATTGGATGGAGGAGATATATGGAATCATCTAATGCTGGCTAGTCAAGATTTCATTTATATAGATCTATTGGGATTACAAATTTCTCATTTCAGTGTGATGTCTATTCCCACGGTCCTCATTAATCATCATGCATTTTTTCTGCACCTAGACAAAACAAACAAACAGTTGTGTTTCTGTGTGTTTCTTCTGAATTTTTGTGCTGGGGCTTGTGTTTTTCCTCTGGATTCTTCATACAAAACATTGAAACACAAATAAAATGATCTCTAATTCCCTAAAGAAGTAAAATTCTGATGTCTGTTAGGGCACTTCAGCCAGTCATAAGGAGGAACATTTGGCTTAGCAAAAGTAGTTGGAGAATGTACACTAGCAAAAGAGTACAATAAATAGGCATCTTTCAATAACAAAAAAAGGAGCATTAGTTTGAAAATATAATATAGCAGATATAATATTTTGGTCATGCAACTTCTTCAGGAAGATCTGTAATAAAAATAACAAAAACCAAAACATTAAAATACCAAGGGCTAGATTTTGACTAGCCATAACACAGTCACATAGGGGAGTGCAAAGTGTCTCCCCTCTCATGTGGCCAGACTAGGGCTGCTTGCCTGATGGCTCAGACCTCAGATACTGGGGGAGAGCTGAGGCTCTGTACCTAACACTGACCCCTGTAAGCATGTGGGCAGGAAATAAGCAAAACGAAGACTCCACCCAGCTATGTGCCAGCCATCAAATCTGGTCAGGCGTGAGATAGGAAAACAAACAGTACCCCAGAAAGGGGATAAATTAACTTTCTTCCTCCTACCCATCAGAGCAGGAGCGGAGCACAGAGTTCCTCCTAGGATGGTGCATCTAGGCATATCTTCATTCATAGGCTGAACATAAAAGCTCAGTCTAATCCTAGTTATGCTTACATTTTTCTTTAGAGATCATTCAGGGTCAAACTGTTGTATCTAACTCTATTTTCTATTTTCAGCTTGCCTAGAAGATAATTCTTTTGTTCTATTTTTAGTAAGGTAGAAGTTGGCTGCTAGTCAAACATCACACTTTGA